AACTGAACAAAGTAGTTTGTAGGAAGACAACATTAAGTAGCGGCGGGTGGCAGCGGCCGGTAGCAGCGGCGGCCGCGGCGAGGGTAACGCTCGCACTTCAGGCGAGACTGACTGGGTGACAATGCCGTTTTGACTATTTTAATTAGCTTAGAACAACAACGAGCTTACTCCCGAAGTGCTATTCCATGTCGTTACATTGCTGATTCCTTGAGCTCTCCCAGTGGCCGCTGCGCCGAGCGCCCTGGTCCCGCGCTCCACGCCGCGTCTCACCATATGTTACCATAACTAACCATGGTTCGCGACGCTACTGCGGGTCGGGACGGCACGAGACGCTGCCACTCTACCATATCTTTATATTTTATATTTTTGCATCACTTTGGCAGATACTAATGATAAAAAACACGAACATGGAAAAATTCCTCATTATATAATATTGTTATAAAGTACTTAGTTATAATTTAATTCGGAGGCGCATTATCATTCCTGCTCTTATCAAGATCGCATAACGTGGACTTATTGTCTTTATTTGTGTGTGTGCATAACACAACCGAACCGCATTTAAATAAGTTTTCAAGAATCATATCGTATGTAGTTCAGAATCTATACCGAGTCCCCCGCCGCAGTCGCCAGTGACGTCACGCGCGACTACACACGGAGCCGTACGAACTGGAACAAAACAAATCTTCCGGACAGAACAGACTGTACAAATATGTTATATACGTCGTTTTTTTATAATAAAAAATTATAATATTTGGATAACAGAATAGTGTAAATAAAAAAGTTGAAGCAAATACCAATTAAAAATGTATTCACATATTCACAATATTCTTTAAAAAAGCGACGCAGCACGGTAATCTTCTTAATGTGGCCACATCTAAACCAGTCATCCGACCCGGGCGATGGGGCAACGCGCAGCCGCCGTCTCCCGCAACATATCTCGTCGCATCCCCGGACACATTCGGTGCTTTTAGACTCATCAAGCACCGGTCGCGTGTCAACTAACCCATAGACACAACACACTGAATTTTTGGTCAGATTTTCTTAGTGGATCGTGAGTCATATCCGGTAATAAATTCAGCGAAACACTACATTTACTAGGGCCGACCTCCGAGCTTTACACTTTACGCTTCCGAGCGTAGCTGGAATAGTTCCTTAGATTACCAGCGATCGGCACTATACAGAATGATAGAATGGGAGTTAGGCGTCTCATCACACCGAAGCTAAACACGACGATCCAGTCTAACAGCAGTTACGTTCAAAGAAGTGCGAGGGACGCTGGACTAGCAGCTATCGTAATTATAATATTAAATAAGATAGAAAAACGTGTTTAAATTGCGGCGAACCTTCAGCTATCACATAAGATATTTCACATTATTTACACCCTAATCGCTACCGGCCACCGCAAACTATCGCCCTGCTCCAACCACAGTGGTCACCCATGCCAGTGATAACGTTAACAAGTTGACACCCGCAATAACATGTTACTTTTACATTCATAAAAAATAAAGCCCTTGATAAGCACGTGTAGAGAAATATAATTTAAAAAGTACCATAAACATACTAGTGACTGATTTAAATGTAAATAAAATAGATTTGTGTCGCAAGAGTAACTCGACCGGCATCAATATACGTGTTACTCCGTAATGTGTCAAGATTGAAAAATATATTAGCTGTTTTATGTAACGCAACTGAGAGACCAACTTCAAAACAAACAGACGTACACATGTCGCGGCGCCGCGGCCTCCCACTGACGGATTGAACTGGGAGCGCTGTCTCATCAGTTTGCCCGTTCACCAACCCTGATTAAAGTGATAAAATGGCCGAGGTCTAAAAGTGAAAATTTGATTAGTGAAGCCCCGGCTTCCGGACCAGCTCTCCTCTTGTCTTGTATCAGCCGCGTCGCGCCCTCGGCTGTGAACTGAATACGCCGTGCCCTTCAACTGTCACTACCCAACTGTGAATAACATTCATGATGTTAGCAATAATATGTTGCTATGCAACAGTGAGTACATTTATTTATTAAACGTGCAACCGAACTCACGAATCAGAAGTGTAACAAAAACTAGAAATAATAACAGATAAAACAGTTACGCTACGTTTCAATGTTAATGTAGAATCGCAAAAAGATAATGTAACTGTTTGTCTCCAAAAATATGTAAATATGTGAAGGTTTTCATAACAAAATCACACGACGCGTGCACAATATACACGTACATATATATGTGCCTGCTACAAGCATCACTATTATCACTAATCAAACAGTTGCCGGTGAGCCTGTAACACCATCGGCGTGGTACCAGCGCCTGGTGACGTTCACGATGTGGTGACTTATCGTAGCTTAGACGAATGGAGGAGCTCACGGCCCACCTGGTACTCCCTGTTTTCCATTTACAGCACAAGAGCGCATTATGCGGCATAATGCTCAACTAAGCTTCAGCATAATTCGGCATTGTGCGTCACCGAGTCGCATTATGCTCTGTAATTGTAGTTTTCCAAATTGGAATAATGCGACTCAGTGACGCACAATGCCGAATTATGCTGAAGCTTAGTTGAGCATTATGCCGCATAANCTAAGCTTCAGCATAATTCGGCATTGTGCGTCACCGAGTCGCATTATGCTCTGTAATTGTAGTTTTCCAAATTGGAATAATGCGACTCAGTGACGCACAATGCCGAATTATGCTGAAGCTTAGTTGAGCATTATGCCGCATAATGCGCTCTTGTGCTGTAATTGGAAAACGGCCATTAAGTGGGTACCGGAGGACATAACTACGTGATTACCGGCGCCCGACTTGTGTCTTAACGCCTATGGTGTAGTGTGACGGCTGCCTACCGCTTCGCGCCAGAATTGAGCAGTGTGATGGTAGTTACCGGAGTGCGCTCACAAAACGTCCTACTGCCAGCAGTTACGCAAATTATCTTTAGCGGATTTGATGTTTATTACACGATGTTATTCCTCTATCGTGAAAATAGTTCGTAACCATGAACTTTGGTCATATTTCACTAGAAAAATGCTATCTGCCTATAGGCTTCGGACACCGACATAGGCACATGGTTTGTTGCGCGTAGATCAGGCTTATCTTTTGAGCCACAACGAATTTAAGCTTTAATAAATTACGGTCCAGCTCATCTCGTGTTTGTTGGAGCTTAGGAACACAACATGAGTACTTACCGCCACACGTCTTGTGACATGATCTCTATGTTGCATAACTATAACTTGGATTAACTGTATTTGTTATATTTATTAAAAATATAAAATACATTATTAAATATCCAAAACGATTGCACCTGTTGTGAGTCGGCGCGGGTAGGTACCACCGCCCTGCCTATTTCTGCCGTGAAGCAGTAATGCGTTTCGGTTTGAAGGGTGGGGCAGCCGTTGTAACTATACTGAGATCTTAGAACTTGTATCTCAAGGTGGGTGGCACATGTACGTTGTAGATGTGTATGGGCTCCAGTATCCACTTAACACCAGGTGGGCTGTGAGCTCGTCCACACATCTAAGCAATAAATAAAAAAGAAAAAAGTGTCTTCAAGAGGCATAAATTAATTAATAGAGGTCTAAAATGTAGGGGTTCGAACTTATTGGTGGGAACAGAGAGAGCATCATTTATCCCTTTCCATGTGACATGTGTCGTCGTGCTGTTGGAACACGTGACGACACAGTGCGTTCTTTGTCTAGCATCAAATTGAGACTCTTATCACTTCCTTATTTCTGCGCAGATTTAAATTTTTTGTTGATCAGTTTGTATTCATCGTTAGTTTTATGAAGCAATATAAAATAAGTAAGCACCCGGATTGGAATCACTGCGTCGCGGCGTCGGTTCTTAGTTAAACAATAGATATTATGTGCACGGTATTTTATCAATAACAAATGTCACAAAAATGTTTGTGCTACGCATGTAATCTTAAAAAAGAGCACTGCTCTCGGCACTTGTTGCTGATGTTTTTGCCACAGTCCCATAAACGTACGAAAAGAAATGTATCGATTTAAAAGAAATTTAAAGGCGAACGTTGAACTTTTTTATTTCTCTTACCTATTCGCTGGTAGCCTAAGGGGCTATTCCAGCCACGCCCGGACGAGTAGGTGACCTCACGAGCTCAAGCTGAGAGAATTTGCTACACACATGAGCAGTGCTTCGCAGAATCTACCACCGGAACGGAATTGCGACCCCCTGAGAAGATCCGGCGAGAAACTCAGTGGATTGTTAAACATTACGGTACTTTAAATGAATGTTAAGTAGATTTTGTTAATGTTTTACACCAAAACTTAAATACGGCAAGCGCTGCAACTCACAAAATGTGAGTTTTCATTAAAACTCACATGATAACTAAAATTCGAACAAAAAGAAACAAAAAAGCTATCAGTAAAAGACGCGGCTCAAACTTGAGTTTGATTTATTTAGGGTTCGACGCTTTGAACAGTTTATAATTTCGTGATTACCGAGGACGGATACAGAAGAACTAGTGGTGCCAGATTTATCTACAAATTGCGAAAATTACAGAAAGCACTATCTAATTATTACTATAACTGCGTTGTATAGTGTGAAGGGTGGTAATGAATTTATTATGTAAAATTCGATCAATTGAAATTTACTATATGAACTGGAATTAACATATCTAATCTGTTTACTTGAACAAAACTATTTATTCCCACAAGTACCTAAATAAAAAATATAAAACATATTCCATAAAGACCCATGTCCCAGTGTCACTCTGAAAATAAATGAGACCATACAGCCATACCAGTCAATCGATGTTTCATAGATCTCAAAAACTATTCAATGTATGTATTTAATAATATATTTGTATGCTTAAGGTCTAATCGACAAATTCAAATGAATAGAGAAACAATGGAAACTAATCCAATTGCCTAAGATAATCATCGTAATCATTAGCATAGGATTAGAAAATTATTTGAACAACATTTACATTTTTTTCTAGTAATGAAGTAATCTAAACGAAAAAAATATTATACAGAGAATGACGATAGGCGGCAAACATGTCCGAGTGCGAAGGTGACACTCGTGCAAATCTCAAGAAAAACAGATGAATTCAATTCCAAAGATAAGTGAGAATTGTTTGTTCGGAATGTTGACTCCAGCAGACTCGACGCTCGCTTGATAAGTCGAGTAGCAGCAGAGTGCGCGCAGCCGCCAGCGCCGCCAGTGCCGCCCGACCAGTGCCCGCTGTCAGTTCATGAACCACTACACACTACGTACTAAAACTGAATGATGAATGTGGACGACGGACTCCCGCTGACGACGAGCGATAAACAGAACCGCACTTGGCGTCGGCTTGTGAAGAAGAGACTGCCGATCTTGGAGTGGGCTCCACAGTACGACCGCCTGACGGCCGTGGCGGACTTGGTGGCCGGGGTCACGCTGGGCCTTACCCTGGTGCCGCAGAGCATTGCATACGCATCCCTCGCTAACTTACCTGTTCAATATGGATTGTATTCTTCTTTTATCGGTGAGTAGAATCAGGAATATTTATCTAGAGATGTAACAATGTCTATTCCATTTTGCAGCCTTTCCACATCTTTGTCGCGTCTTGTAACTCTTGTTTGATTATTTTTTTCCAAATAGGATTTTAAATGTGCCTTTTTATAATGGAACGCGAATGGCAATTAAATGTGAATTAATAAAATATTATTTCCACCACCAATAAAATATTATGAAAATATTTACTATTCAAATTCATCAAAATCAAATTCAATAACATAACATATAACTTATAAACCCAAATAAGTCTCAGATACTGGGCGATAAGGTAACTAATATTTGAAATAGGTTTTTCTCCACAGATATGGACTGCATAGATGCATCAAATGTTTATTTATTTCTTATCTATTACGCAAGCTGTGGAATTATTTTTAAAGTTTATCTTTTCGAGTTACTTTTGTAGATCTATTATTTACTATTAGTGTTACGACAAAACTCCATTTCCACCATTGTAGTTTCCGTGTCACGTGCTAAAAGTGTTTTTTAAAATAAACACCCAATGTTTTTGTTTGTTCTGTTTAAGTTATGCAAAAATTTTAGAGAAATGACGAGAACGGAGTTTATTATGACATTCTAACGAATACTACTAGCTAATAACATCCAGACAGCCTCCATGTTCCATCTATTTTCTGCGTAAAGTAACCATAACAGATGCTGTTATTAATACTACTACTCTGACATAGATCCTAATCCTAACATTCCAAGTGTTGGGCTATTTGAACAGGCTTTAAGAACAACTAATTTTACTGTACAGTGTTGCATAAATCTATACATATAAAAGAAAGTCGTGTTAGTTACACTTTATATAACTCAAGAACGGCTAAACTGATTTGACTGGAAATTGGTGGGGAGGTAGCTTAGAACCAGGAGAAGTACATAGGATACTTTTTATCACGTTCCCGTGGGACGTGACGTAAAACTTGGTATATATAACAAAATGAAACTAATATGGAATAACAGAACACAACTGACAGCTAAACGTAATGTAAGTCTATGGTTAATTATAAGAGAATTTTGAAGTTGATCGGTTGATGTGTTTGTTTCGAGTTTCTATTAGCTTATTGTGCCGAGATAGGTAATCATTAAGAAAGCCATTCCGGGACAAATAAAAACTGACCTGGATAAAATTAAAAGTCTGCTCATTTATTGGCTCTAAGGCGGAACAAAGTTCGCCGGGTCACCTAGTTTTATTTAAAAGTCACTGATTGATAAATATGTTGACAGAAGCAAAGCAAATGGTTTTTTATTAGGCCCCCAAGGCTCGCCACAGTAACCAGTCCTGCGCAGCCTGCATCCAGCGAATCCACTCAACCTTTAGCAAGTCGTCCGTCATCTTGTGGGACCCTACCCGTGCTACGCTTAGGTTCTAAGCACCCCATTCCACCATTAACTTGGCTGCCACCGTGACTGTACCGTGAATAGCGGAACTGGCGGAGACTGGGGCCAGTTTTTATTTTTGTCAGCCATTTTTAGGGGGTTTCCATAATCGCCACCCTTGGCATTCGTGTTGGTGATTGCAGTATACTTCTATAATACTCGAAGAACGCTGCTGCATATTTCATGGAGGATCCCTTAGCCGCCTCTTTCGATACACGCGGGAGGAGATGGGAGGTGCTAGTCTTTTTCGAGGCCAAATGGACATTCATTGAACTAAATTAATATAAATGGATGAGCCGGTCCCCGCCTCATATTGATCCTACCTTCTTAGGAAGGTTCACTTAAAGCTGAATTTGAACTGCTAACAGCTTTGTGTAAAGTTTTAATCCAATTGCATGAATGATAACAGAATGCTTGAATAACTGGATTTTATAATATAATAATAAAAAATCTTTAATCTAAAATCGTTCAGGTCTGTAGACACGGTAAGCGAAGTATTATACTCTTAAAAGTACCATATACGTCGTGTTCATTTAAATTCTATGCTCGTTTGCTCATCGACGCCATTAATGAAATGTTATTGACATTATTAATAGCATGACGGTTGCGTTAAAGGCTTGGTTTTTATTAGCAACTAAAGGTATAAGCTCCCGGTCTACCTGATGGTAAAGGGTTACAGCCAAACTTCTGACTACGGCTGAAGACTCCTTTAAACCTACTTTAAAGGGTGTTTCGCACTAAGGGCTATGGATTCAAGCCGCTTGCCGCCGAATTCTGCTGAGCCTAGACAAACGGTCGACGGAATTTAGAGAGCACAATATCTATACTGCTAGCCACCTTGAGATATGAGGTGGACGTCTCAAACTTATTATTACGAGCTGGGGTCAGGATATATAATAACTCATCGCCGTAATCACCGGCAACACTATAGGCCAATGCATAATAAGCTGGTACAATATTCAGTGAACACTGCTGTCGAACTCGTGGTTAATTCTGACTGTCTTTTATCTGTTTTCACTTAAACAAAGACAAGTCACATCATTACCACAGAAAAAAGGTGGAGTTCATTCTGAAGTCAGTTAGTAGCCCCTAGTAAAATAGCATTCGGAAGGCATTGCAGGAAGTAAGTATGACTTATGCTCGCAGGCGAGTAACGATAGGCGACGTAACTGAAATAACTAGCTCAACACAAACAATTTTCCAGAGCACGCCTACACATAATTTACAAAAGAAAATTCCGTTGACTACGAAACACGGTTAATTTAAAATTTAATACGCAAAGCTCAATTAAATAAAAGATATCACTTTATTTACGCATGTACCTATCTATGTACTATATCCACAAAACTTTTATTCTCAACAAATGAACGAAATGATAGCCTATTTCAGATAGAGTTATTTTTTTATGTTCACGTTAAAAAGTGACATTGCTACAGGGTTTCCCCAGTAGTATACGCAGACAGACGTGTTTCTGATAAAATTTCCTAAATTTAATTTTATAAGCCTACGAGGGTTTACACGTAAACGACATAGCTCTTGTTTTTTTTAAAAGGTAGAAAATCTACGAGCAAGCGTTGCACTCAGGACGTTTCTTATTAGATCGGGAATCAAATTGTTGTTTTTAGCTTTGTAAAAAGTAAGACGTTTAAGACTATTGTTACGGAATAGAAATCCAGTATTCGGTATTCGGAAAAACCTACATCACGCTACAAACAAGATAAGTTTGCAGTTTTGTCATCCATGAGCTCCGAACGTCAACAACTAGGTCTACTGATAGAACTAGCCTGCTCAGTGGAGAGTCTTCCGTCTGTACTATCCCCTAAATCATCTTTATATTATAGGTAATTGTGTTTACTTGCTTCACTGTTATTGCGTAAGTGCTGATAGTTTCATTTACAGCAAGCAAGAACACGCAATGACAATAAGTACTATTTCGACTGTACTAATAAACCTGTTCAATATCATCCACGACGTCCAGTTTATTGATAAAGTTTTAAATTTTTATAAATTTTTTTATAATATTTTTCGGTAGGCAGCGACTTGGCTCTGTCCCTGCCATTACTGAAGTCCATGGGCGACGGTAACCACTCACCATCAAGTGGGCCGTATGCTCGTCTGACTGAAGACGACATTTATATAAATTCTACCACCAAAGTAAACTAATGTTTTGCGAGGCGTCGCTCAGAGGAACCACAACTTGGAATTCACCGCCTCATGAGTAATTCTAGTCCAGTATCTACTCCACCTTGTCGGTAATAATTTCTTAGTTACCGGAGCGAATAATAGATTCGCGTGAGGAGCCGATAAGACGGTAATATCTACCTGCTCTTCACTGAGTCCATCGAGGTTTTTTTTTTGGCGGAACCTTAAAAAAGCCCGGTTCAGGAAAAAAAATTTTTTTTCTATTTCGTTTTAAATTAATCTTTAGTTTCTTTATTAAAAATTGGTACAAAACAAACGTGTTAGGTGTGTGAATCTGTGAGAATGGTGGGAAACGAGGGGGGCGGGGATAACCCGCCCACCTCACACAAACGTCCTCGGCATGAAGTCGGAGACGGAGGGACTTCGACGGACTGTGGTGATGGCGGCGGCGGTGAGCGGTATGACTATTCACCATATATTAAGCCCGATTATAAGAGACTATATCGGGAAATGCCACATATATAGACTTCAACGTTTTCATTGAAACCACAAACAACAAGGATAGAATAGGCAATAAGAGCCCTATCTATCTTAACCATATATTTTCAAGTGAAGTAAAAGGAGTGACAGCTATACAATGCATAAATGCAAATAAAATAGCAGTAATATTTAAACAGTTTAATACAGCGAATAATTTCATTAACAACAACACCTTTCTCAACAAACACGACCTTAAAGCATTTATTCCGGCTGCGCAAATAGAAACAACAGGTATAATCAGATATGTACCAGCAAACATTTCAAACAAAGACTTATACACTAAACTATCTTCAATTTATGAAATAATAGCTATAAGAAGATGCACAAAAAAGGTGGGGCAAGAGCGAGTACCAATACATACAGTGAGCATTACATTTCAATTATTTTCAATCATTTGCTTTATTACAGCCTTTTATCACATTTTTTTTAGGACGTTCTTGGTCCTGGAACTCATTCGTGAGAAACGGTTACATCAAAATTCACCGAGTATAACGATCCCACGGACAAACACCACGAGGACCGAGTAAACTTTCAGTCAAAGAGAAAAAATCTAATCTTGATAGTTTGTCCTGGTTGCTTCTTTTTTGAAGCCGAAAATATAATTTTCCAGGTACAATGCTGTACGTCATCCTGGGTACAGTCAAAGAGGTGTCGATAGGTCCGACGAGCTTGATGGCGCTGTTCACCCTTCAGATCTGCCGAGAGCTGCCCATTGAATTCGTGGTACTACTCACGTTCCTTTCCGGATGTATCGTCTTTGTTATGGGACTTTTGAGATTGGGTGAGTTTCAAAATTATAAAGTACTTATACTCTTCGGCTGCTACAAATGATTATTTTTTTATTGCCCTTGTAGGCAGACGAGCATACGGCCCACCTGATGGTGAGTGGTTACCGTCGCCCATGGACATCAGCAATGCCAGGGGCAGATATGGACATGTAATAAAAAGTACCTGTTTTTCTTCATTTGTTATAAGCTATGTTTGAAAAACTTACTAGTAATTTCTTGCAACCAATCCTTAAATTACTCTATGATGATGATGAATGTTATTTTCGCCATTAATTTAAAAACTTTAATAGAGAACTTTTTCTTACTGCACAATAGACCAGCATTCGATCTCACGGTCGGCCTAGTGCATAGAGGTTACGAAAGCTCATAAACATCACAACAAGACTGCTTTGCGGTAGAAAAAAGGCGGTATGGTGATACCTACCCCTGCGCACACACTATACGCCACTGAAATTATCATTGAAATTACTAATTTTACAGGTTTAATTTTATTACACGACTAGCTGTATCCGTCCGCTTCGCTGGGCATTTAAAATTAACATTATTATTTCTCACCCCCGCAAACATTCTCATCATTAACGCCCCCGCAACCCGCCCCATTCAGTAGTTATAACGGAACATCCGTAAAAACCACTGTAGTTTTATATATTAGTATAGATGTTATTTTCGTGAAAGTCGTTTGTGAACAGGTCGTATCTGTTTAGCCTGGATGATCCCGTTATACTCACAGTCACTTATTGCTCTTTTCAGGTTTCCTAGTAGATTTAATATCACCTTCAGTGACGAGCGGCTTCACGTCAGCGACCGCAATCATCATCGTCGCCGGACAAGTGAAGGGGCTGATAGGACTGAGCTTCGTCGCGGAGTCGGTGGCGGACAACGTGTACTTCGTGGTCAGCAAGTGGAGGGACATAAGGCTGGCTGACTGTGCACTTGGGGCCGTCTGCTGCACCGTTCTACTTCTCTTGAGGGTGGGTAGTATTTGGGAATTTACGAGTATATGTCGATGAAAAATCGTCATTTCCTGGTGGTAGGACCTCTTGTGAGTCCGCGCGGGTAGGTACCACCGTCCTGAATATTTCTGCCGTGAAACAGTAATGGGTTTCGGTTTGAAGGGTGGGGTAGCCGTTGTGTAACTATACTGAGACCTTAGAACTTATATCTCAAGGTGGGTGGCGCATTTACAGTTGTAGATGTCTATGGGCTCCAGTAACCACTTAACACTAGGTGGGCTGTGAGCTCGTCCACCCATCAAAGCAATAAAAAAAAATCGTGTCATCGAATTTTTATCATACATTGAACATGACATTCAAGATGTAACGAAATATGAACCCGGTTTTTTTGATAGTTCGGAACCTTCTATATTTCTAAATCCAACGTCAATTTCCTTAGGTATTTAGAAATTTTCATTTGAATTTTTTAGTATACTCCGCAATATCAGACAATGATAACTAAAATAATTAGTTTTATACGACATGCAGCCGCGTCCGTGCGCTCTCTCTGATGTAACTCTTCTAAAGAGTTGTCAACGCTATATGTATATAAGTAGTTATATAGCTATAGGCTTACTCAGAACGTCTGACACTATAAAATGTACTAGATAATGTTTTATTAAAATACAATTACCGAGAGCCACACGCTCTTTGGGTTGTAATTTTGAGCGGTGTTCGATGTCAAAGGTAAATCTAAGTTGTTCTTAATTATTGGGAGTACACAAGAGTGTCTTTGGCATCGTGTGACGACCCCTGAGAGCTGAGACGTGGCCTCCAGCATGCGCAGGGCGGGGCGAGTGCTCAGTAGTAGCAGCGGTTTGGCGATTATGAACCTTAGAATCAGATCTTGTGAAGAAGCTTGGTTACGATCAAGAAGATGTAACTGCACAATGAGAATACAACTTAATAAAATAATTATTAATATCATTCTTTCTGGTCTTTCCCTCAATGCTGAGGATTGTGACTGTACCAATATCAATCTTCTCCACTCGGTCCGGTTCTGTGCCATATGTACCGCTCCCTGTATCTGGCATTAATATCATATACAACTGTAATTCGAGTCATATTTGCGCGGAATTAATGCAATTCAAATTAAAAAAAAAGCGTCTGAGATAAATTGTAATTGGTTATTTGCTTAGTTTGACGTTATCACTACACATCAAACAATTCTTTTATCCTTCAGAAGCCTGTTTGCTGCGAAAATTAAATAGATCGCTATAAACGTATTAAGGTTATGGACCTTTTGTTAAACATAATCATTTTAGCGAAAAATTGCACAATACCATATATAAGATAAATTAACGTCAAAATGTGTCCTCATTCATAATACGTGTTTAACGTCACTTAAAATCAGCTGCCTACAAAGTCACACCACATAGGTATATCTTATTCTGCAGCCCTATAAAGATAACACTATAAAAGTTGTCAACCTATTATGTTGTTGCTATATGTTATATTTTAACAGATTTACAGACTTTTTTTTCCGGGTAGGGGGCCGAACCTCGTACGAGGTGTCCGCTCCCGGGGCACGCGCCGTGTGTGGGACCTGACGGTCTGCAGATGTTGGGAGCGGACCGCGGGCCCAACGATATACGTTAACCGCTACTTTAACAGTAACAATAATTAAGCAGACATGTATTGAGCACCTTTGTAATCGTATCAATAAAATCGGTCATGTCAATTCTGAATAAAAGTAAACAGGCACGGGCAAAAGCGAACCTTAATTTTTAAGACTGTTAGATTGAATGTCTTCCGGCTCGAGAGTCCGGCGGCGCCCGGCACTGCCGCCGGTGAGTGTTCGGGCCCATTGATAGCACAACGCGAGCACGAGGACGTGGGGACCTAGTTTCTTAATAATCTTTTTTTTTGTTCGAAGAATTTTATAGATAGACACCTATCCAATCCTTCTTCTTTACTAACTGATAACGTTTTGTATTGACTCAGTTAAGCGTTCTTGTTAGCTATCAGTAAGTTCTAGTGAATTCTTTACAGCAGCTACTAGTAAATATTGTGTATTTCAGAAATTGAAAGACGTGCAAGTGAGCCCCAAACAGACCAAGTTGAAGAAGGCTCTGTGGCTGGTGTCGATCAGCCGGAACGCCATCGTCGTGCTCGCGGCTTCTGTCTTCGCTTTCTACACACACAATCCTCAGAAACCAATGTTCAAGTTGTCAGGTAACACCGTTAGAGTAGACTTACAGTAGAGGTACAGCTTCGATCGTAGTGCGGATCTGGAGATAAACCGCTACAAACCCTTACCAGCTCGCGCTGTGGCCCGCGCGCATGCCGAGGTCAGGCTAACTAAGGCTATTGTATATACGGGGAACTAGCTCACAGCACGTCGGTGTTGAGCGGTTACGGGAGCCGATAGAAAGAAATATTGTACATGTTTTTCCTAAGTAAACTTAATGGGCTATTCCATCTTGGCACAAACGGCATCAATTGTATAACTCTTCAATTTTGGACGCAGGCACAGTGGTCATATCAAACGCTGCGTGTGGCGTACGGCTTTAATGTTCCCCTTCAAGTAACCCCGCCCGGGGTCAGAACCCGGTCAGAATAGGAGAGTTCCCACGGCCAACATTACAACCAGACACGCGGCGCCACCCCGAGGACGATAGTCGACGATCAACGACGCCGATCTCCGCGGTACGGCGGCACTACCCCGCTGGGTCAGAACCAGTTGTGGTTAAGATAGGTCAACCGCTATCAACCAAATTACTTTATGGGACAAGTTGAAGTGACTAATTGAGTACCGTTATGCTGTTTTGTACAAGGAATGTGGTTCACTATGTAAATTAATTAAATTCAAGACACGTGTTCCAGGTCTAGTGGAGCCGGGCCTGCCCCCACTCTCGCTGCCGCCGTTCAGCGCCTCCCTGCACAACAGCACGCTGCGGCTGCAGGACATGGTGCTCCACCTCGGCAGCGGCGTTCTCATGCTCCCGATAGTCATGGTGCTTGCCAATATTGCCATCGCAAAGGCTTTTTGTAGGTTGAGAAATATTTCTTGTTGCGCTTTAAATTTTATTCCTTATAATATTCCAAGATTCTTTTAAATCTTTTACTTAAGAGTCACGAGAACAGAAAACCAAGTCCCGCCACCTATCACCTAGAAATGTATCTAACGTGATGTCTGACACTTGTAGCTGTTGGTGAGAAGCTGGACATAACTCAGGAGATGATGACCCTGGGCCTGTGCAACATCGCCGGCTCGTTCGTCCACGCCATGCCGACGTGCGGCGCCTTCACCCGCTCCGCCGTGTCGCACTCCAGCGGCGTGCGCACCCCCGCCGCCGGACTCTACTCCGGTACGGCGCCGCCCCTCCCCGCGCCCCCCGCCCCGACCCGTGCCCCCGCCGCCGGACTCTACTCCGGTACGCCCCTCCCCGCGCCCCCCGCCCCGACCCGCGCCCCCGCCGCCCGCGCCCTCCCCCGCCGCGAGGCCCCGGGCACGGCGAGCTGATTAGCAAACATTTTACCGAGTTGAATGAAACACTAACTCTAAATTCACATTACTCCTAATGATTAACAGAATTGGGACGAACGTGTCAGTCCACACTCCTGTTGTCCTGACGCTCAGCCGATTGTCCCTGAACGGAAAGCCATTGCCATTTAGTAATTCTTCGGAGGGGAGTGATGTGGCGGGTAGCCATCATACAACGCAAGATAGTTGACAGATGACTGAATCTCACTTACGACATTTTCAAGATAAGCTTGCATATACAGTCAAACCTGGATAAGCGAGAGTTCAAGGGAGCACAATCTCATTCCCGCTTATAGAGGTTTCTCACTAACCCGAATTTCTCACTAATGCACCCTCTGAATTTCATTTCGCGATTTTCCGGATTCAAACGCATTCACTGTTTTAAGTTTATCACTTAATGACAGTACTTTAATTTTCCGTTTTGACATGATGCAGAACAGAACTTTCCTTCGCAATTGATTGACGATAAACTGAGTAAGTCCGACAAACAGGACGGTACACAGGCACACGTGTCCATTTGAAAAGAATGCGATAAAATAACAACGTTATTTAGTTCCACGATATAGAATAGGTTCAATATTGACGAGAAAAAAATACAAAAACAATGGTAGGAAGTTCCAAGAAATTTAAGAATGAGTCATAAAATAGCAGATGCTAAATTTGTTATTTATTTTGTCATTTGTTCCTCCTAAATAATATAAATAAATAAAGCTCGACTGTCGCTTATAGAGGTATAGATAAGTAGCAGTCTCACTTACGGAGGTCCATGAGGGAAAAACGACTCTCTCTTACAGAGGTTTCTGTTTCTCGCTAATAGAGGTTTTGGGAGCTTAAAATGACGAGTCCTGGCTATTACTCTCACTTATAGAGTTTTCTCACTTATCCAGTTCTCACTTACCCAGGTTTGACTGTATACAAGTTCCGAACAATAACATTTGGACCGTCGGTCTACCGAGCAATATCACCAGCTCGGTGGAAGATCTTCCCTTTGTCGTATATATCTCTTCACTAGTATTAAAAGTCTCGTTACCATTAAATTTACAAAAAACTAAACTAGATAGTGTATAAAAATTAAGTCTCAATTGTACGGGATTTTCTTAACCTAAGAATCAAATAAAATATTGCTTATTGACGCAACGCTGGACCAGCGGGATGCGGGATGTCGGGATGCGCTTCGCACGATTTTTGTTTATAAAATTTAATATATTTTATTGTGTGTAGAAGAGCACATATTACCTAAGATCAGTTGCCCGCGGGGGTCAATCTTGAAAGCTGTCAACACTAGGCTGCACTAAAAGTATCGAGAATGGAATATTTCCACTGTTCCTGTCATATTAAAATTTTTAATTGAAAACTCCTTGGTTTTAAAAATCGAATACCATTTATTTATTTAAAAAAAGATTCTCGGTCTTGTCACGAGGTTTTGTCAAACTTGTTTAGTCGTTGAGAAAATGGAATTGACTAGAGAAAATTTAAGAGCGATGATTTATTATGACTTTCGAGGTGGTTTAACACAAAAACAGTGTGTTGACCGGATGATTTCTGCATTTGGTGATGAAGCCCCATCCAAATCACAATTTATCGCTGGTTTGCTGAGTTTCAACGTGGACATGTCAAGCTCAGTGATGATCCCCGTCAAGGTCGTCCAAAAACTGCAGTCACCCAAGAAAACGTTGATGCTGTGCGTAAACTGATTGAGGAAGATCGACATGTGACATACCGCGAAATTCAGGCAACTTTAGACATTGGCATGAGTCAAATACAAATAATCTTGCATGAACAATTAGGTGTAAAAAAGTTGTTTTCCCGATGGATACCGCATTCGCTCTGTGAAGAGCAAAAAGCGGCTCGCGTTACTTGGTNGATTACAAGATATGGCAACACTTGGAGGAAAAGGCGTGCTCAAAGCCTCATCCCAATTTGGAGTCACTCAAGACATTCTTGATTAAGGCAGCCGCCGATATTGACATGGACCTCGTTCGTGCTGCGATAGACGACTGGCCGCGCAGATTGAAGGCCTGTATTCAAAATCACGGAGGTCATTTTGAATAAACTTTAGTGTCATAAGAATCTATGTTTTGTTAAGTTCATTTTGGTATATGAATGGTTACATAATGAATAAACTTGTTTCAATTCTTTTACATTAAACATGTGACAGAATTTATGACCTGACTAGGTATTTTATTATGTGTAGAAGAGCACATATTACCTAAGATCAGTTGCCCGCGGAGGTTAATCTTGAAAGCTGTCAATAATAAATAATAATAGGAAATTTGACCTTCAATATAAGCTTATCTTGTAGCCGAGACAGTAATTCGTTATGTGCAATAGAGAAACAGCATATGTAAAATTAATCAAGATAATGAAACATAATAAATAAGATCCAGTCTTAGTTGATCTGTTATATCTAATGTATATTCTGCTTCCAGGTATAATAACGCTGCTGGCGCTGCTGTTCCTGACACAATACTTCTACTTTATCCCAAAGGCGTGTTTGTCGTCGGTCCTCATCTGCGCGGTCATATTCATGGTACGGCAGTCACGCCACATTTTTTTCCTATCTAAGCTGATGGCCTTGAGGAGGCTATGTCAGCGTAACCGTAACAAGTAGGTGAGCTCACGGGGCGTAAACCTGACGACGAGACCTGACTAGCAAGAGCAGTGCTTCGCAGAATCTACCACCGGATCGGAAACGCGAACCATTGAGAAGATCCGACGAGGAACTCAGTAGGCTGTGTCTATGGGTTAATTTACTCGTCCTTCGTCACAAGAAACGGGATTGTGATGCACAACCCGGTAGTTATGACCGGTGCTTGTGGTACCTAAAGGCACTGTTAGTGGATCAGGAGGAGCACGTTACACTGAGGGGGGAGTAGTGCTGTGAAGTGTGAGGCGCCGCCAGCTCCTCTGTTAAAACCATTAAAAAACCTGTGTCCAATTCACAAGTGGTAGAAAGGAAACTTTCAAAAATTTTGGCTTTAATGAGACGAACATAAAATTAAGAAGAGGATAATTGTAGGCTTGGTCATAGTGATGCAATATTTGATAATTATTTTATATTTTATTTGTATATGTTATCGGAAATGTATGAAATCAAGGAATTGTATACAAATCCTAGGAAATGTGTACAATTCCGATACTATTTAGGAAATGTATAAAATATTGTTTGAAAAACTATTTAATGCATAGATATCTTAGGAAATGTATAAATTTCCTCGGAATTGTATATAATTCCAATATCGTATTAGGAAATGTATAAAGTAAATGCTTTTTGTAATAAAACACGTTGTTAATAATATTTTTTTAATATAACACTTATTGAGACAATCAGGTAACAGTCATACCGTAAAATAATAATAATATATTCATATTATCTTACTAATTAAAACTTCTAAAATCAACTATCTATTAACTTTTAACGTATCACAAAATCAACTTATATTTATTCTTATAAAATCAAATTTTCATTTGGCAAGTAATCAGTCTGATAATTAAATAATTATAAATGTCAAAGTATAAAAGTAAATCTTTATATTATAATACTTTGTCAGTCCATATAGCTATTTATTTTTGCAGGGTAAGCTCGAATGGCATTTGGAAGTACATAATACTTTATTTTTAAAACACAGACATCTTGAAGTAGCACAGTTTTTCTTGCAAAGGCACTTCTTAAATCCCTGGCCGGTTCCAGTGGATTGCAAGTTGGCAACTGACCGTAGTGCAAGACTCGTCCCGCTGTCCCCGCGTACCCACCAATATCTTAAATGTTTTACATTTCCGATTGCTGTTTAGGAAATATATAGATTTCCTAGGAAATGTGTAATGTGTAAGTATAATATAATTTATTTCACACATTTCCGTGCGATTTTAGGAATTACATACATTTCCTAGGAATTGTATACAATGACGGATTACATACATTTCCGTTAACATATATACTACATAGATGTATTCAGAATTTAAGTTTTTAATATCAGGTATGAAGTAGAGCACAAAGAGAAACACCGTATGATGCTTCTTATGTCATTTTCTTCCACGTTACATCTTATGAATTTATGTGTCGCTTCTTCGTTTAATCGACTCTCGAATCACAACGATACTAAGAAGTATTCACTTCAATTATGAATGTGCTCTCGAGCTTGTACATAGAGCTGAGCAGCTGGTGGCGCAGCGTGCCCCCTCCCCCTCTCCCCGCCGGCTGTGACGTCGGCACTACGCAATTAATAAACAAAAAAACTGTTAATATTTGTTTTTATTACGGTGAATGTCTAGAAAAAATGTGTTTCCTCTGCCCCAAAACTGCAGATAGATATTGAAACAGTTCTCCGGCTGTGGCGACGGGACCGCATGGAGCTCTCCGTGCTGGCGCTCACCTTCGTGACCAGCATCGCGCTGAACGTGGAGCTGGCGGTGCTGGCCGGCATCCTGGCGAGCCTGGCGCTGCTGGTGCGGCGCCTCATGCGGCCCGCCCTGCACGCGGCGGCCGTCAAGGTGCGCACTGTCCTCCTCATCCGGCTCCTCAGCCCATGTACTTGAGAGGCCGAGCGAGTCCCAGTCCAGGCGTGAAGTACCACTTCGCTGTGTTGAAAGCTTCATACGTGTACAGACGGGGTCGGGGGAGGTGTGCGTGGTGCGCGTGACGCAGGGCGCCGTGTACCTGAGCGCGGAGCTGGTGGGGCGGCGCCTGCAGTGGGCGGCCGCGCGCTCCGCCCCCCGCGCGCTGCTCGTGGACTGCACCCGCCTCACGCTGCTCGACTACACCGCGCAGCAGGTCGGTCCGCGTCCAGCTCCAACAGACCTACTGTCAATAAGCACCCCCGCACCGATCTTAGTATTAAAGCTTTCATAGGCAGTATTAACCTTTGAAAAAATATTTATTACTAGCGACCCGCCCTCGCTTCGCTTCAGAAACATTAAATTTTATTATTGATAGCTGAGTCCCGCGATGTTAGCCGCGGTTATTGTCGTACCGCGGATGACGCCGCGGGGCGAATCTAGTCTAAAAAAGTAACCTAAGTTACTCCTTATGTCATCAGCTCCCTATCAGTGAAAGTATCCTCAAAATATATCCCAGCCGTTCCAGAGATTAACTGGAACAAACAGATAGACAGACAGATAAAAATTGTAAAAAATGTTATTTTGGTGTATGTACCGTATATTATTATATATTCATATGCATGTATTAAAAAGAGGCTATTTCAATATTACAAACAGACACTCCAATTTTATTTGTATGTATAGATTCATTTACGACGTGAAACGGGTATACTATTGAATCGTTAAGCGGTTACCGGAGCCGCCACCGCCACAGCGCGTCGGGCTCCGGGGCGTGCGGTCAAAAGCAGAATCAAATTGATATAAAGTAATATTGTGTAACAGCCCAAAGACTTCGTTCAGATTATATATTTTTTGCTTAGATGGGTGGACGAGTTCACAGCCCACCTGGTGTTAAGTGGTTACTGGAGCCCATAGACATCCACAACGTAAATGCGCCACCCACCTTGAGATATGAATTCTAAAGTCTCAGTATAGTTACAACGGCTGCCCCACCCTTCGAAACGAAATGCATTACCGCTTCACGGCGGAAATAGGCGGGGTGGTGGTACCTACCCGTGCGGGCTCACAAGAGGTCCTACCACCAGTTAATAGCCAATACCAGTCCATATCTAAGGCAAGTGCGACTAAAAACCTGATGAGTTCCAATAGAAAGGAATGATGTCGTGGAAATTAAAATTCTAAAAGACTACAAAATATTTATTAGAACTCGTACGTTTTGTTTGAACAGTGCAAGTCCTCGCGGCACCGGAGACACGCCGCGAGCGCGAGTACTGCCCTCCATACTTTATTGTTTTTTCACGTGAATCATTAATAAATTCGGGTGTTTAGATTCCGACATCGTAAAAAATCTTAAGATAGGAGGCAACATTTACCTGGTCGTAACTGTGGTCTATGGTCTACGTCGACACCAGAGACCAGCTCGTGAGCACGCGACGTGGGACATGAGAAGCACAATATTGAGCGCTTTATTGCAATATCATAAACTTTTCTATTTTCATGCTTCCAGGTTTTTGAAAGAGTTATTAAAAAAATCAAGAATGACAATCAGAAGATACTATTTTATAATGTTCCCGTAGAATTGATGAGTCAAATGGAAAACATAGAAGGAGTTATAAAACAGTCATTCAGAGCGACCTCAGTGCAAGAAGCACTCGCTGTCATCGAGGAAAAAGCTGTTGAAGCCAACGAATCCACCGCGCTGATGGCGACAGAACCAGGCAGCCGCGATAACGTGGAGCTATATAATCCTGTAGTTCAAACAAACTTTACTAAATAAAATTCATTAGTTTTAATTAATAATAGAAAAATCGAAACTTCCAACTTTGTTATAGATTTAGTTTAAGAATCTTTATATCGAGGGGTGATAGGATATTTTGTTTAAGCGATATTTTTGCAACTTTACCGGAGAGCCATTTAAATATAAAAATTTAGAAAATATAACAAAAAAACAGTTCTTCAGCTAGTATTTGAATGGAGTAAACGTAATTGAAGTTCAATTAAAAAACATCGCACTGCTGATTCTGACACCAAATAAACGTACCTTTAAATACAAAGATAAATATTAAGCGAAATGTCGCTTAAACCAAATAGCCTTTCACCCCTCGATATGGTTTTAAATCTGTTACAGAAATGTTTATAATGTAAATGATAGTATTAGTAAGCTAATTTATGTAATAAATTTACGTGTTTAGATTTTGGTAATTGTTAAAGTTGTTGAAAATAAAGCACCACCAAAATATAATATATGTCATACAATTTTATTATTATTTATTTATATTTATTTAAAATCTTATTAATTACATAATATTTTTTAAAAAAATAATTAAAAATACAATTTTTAAAAAACACTATATAAAAATAGATTGCCGCTGATGGCGGTGTCTACGACACAAGCCACCAGTGGTTAGGACTCCAGAGTGAGAAACCTCCTCACAATGCGTGCAGTATCGAGGATAATTGCTTTCTGTATTAGGCCCTTAACCCAGCTGGATAACGAAAGTTTCTTAAGATGTTGATCGAAACTTTTCGCTATCAAGCCGTGTACCGATACAACTATTGGAACAATGATGGTTGAATCAACATGCCACATGGCGGTAGTCTCGTGGGTCAGGTCTAAATATTTTATTAATTTGTCCTTTTCTGCCTTCACGAGGTTCTCGTCATGAGGAATGGTGACATCAACCAACACTGCTCGACGCGCAGATCGATCTATTATCACAATATCAGGTTTATTGGCAACAATATACCTATCCGTGATAATAGATCGGTCCCAGTAGAGCGTAACATGACCATTATCNTATTATTACAATTTTATTATACAGCATATTATAGTATTAATGAAATACTACTCAGGGTCCTGTAGTTTTACAAGTCTTTGATGTGGATGCACCCGCTCAAAACGTCATGATAATCATGATCCTTCCGATCCACTAACATTATTATTAAACGTAAGGAGTAGGCTTAGGGACCTAGGTAACCATAATTGTCGACCTCAGCAAAGAGATCGACGTGCAACCTAACCCAAACATCAGCCTGCTGAGTTTCTCACCAGATCTTCTTAACGGGTCGCGATTCCGATCCGGTATTAGATTCATCCACGAAGCAGCCGCTCTTGAGTTGTTCCGCCGGCAGCTGTTAGTTAATCCCACCCCTCCTGGCTGAGCCCGTGTTCGCTCACCTGTACTGGTGAAACTGAAATAGCCTTCAGGCCACCAGCAATCCTTCTGTGGCGTTTAAGAAACCACCTTTTTATGATGCGTAAGCCGGAAGTGCCGGAACGCACGAGAGGTGGGAATAAGAGGATAGTCTGTGACGTGGGACCTTTTTACCGCCAAAATTTTTATATATAATATAATAATTTATAATGTGTTTAATAACTAATATAATATAATAACTTAGAATTGTTTATACCGCTACAACAATAAAATTTCTATTATTTCAACTGTGGTGTTAATTACATAAAACACGACTTTACGGCGAAATAAAGAAGGGACTAGGTATATGGACTCCCTCACTTCTACTGATGTAAATACACTAGATTAGTAATTAACGTGCTAATGCTTTGCCACTACACGTTTGGCCACAGCCATTCACACGCCATTGTAACAACTGAAGCATCAGTTCAGTGTACAATGTGACGTCAACCGAGTTGTACCGAGAAATGCGCGGCAGAAACAATTACCAAAATGGGTAAATGCGTAGTAAAACAATGCGATTCAAGATCAGAAAGATACAATAAATCAAGGGGAATTACTTTCCACACGTAAGTATATTTTTATGTAATCATATTAACTCAGATAACGTTAACATTATAATAAAAAATACAATGTTCAATTTTTGCTTCAGTGCTACCATTAAAACAACATGTTGGTCTTCCCACATTAATGGGAGAATTTGTAGTTTATGGAAAAAATACTTTGTTACCTCTGTTAAAAGTAAAATAAATTAGTCAAAAGGATTCATTAATTATGAAGCGAAGGTCCCCGGTTCAGATCCAGGGTTGAACACAAAATTGTTATACTTAATGGATTTTCTGTTAGAAAAACTACGGATCAGGTCGTAGTCTTGATATGTGCCTATGTACGGCAATAGGCTCCCCCACCTAGTACGTGGGACTAATAATAATTCACCTAATATTATTATTAGTCGAATTCACTTAATAAACTTGACCGCCTCGTTGATGCGGTCGGTAGTGAAGACGTCATGCGATCGAGAGGTCGTGGGTTCGATTCTCACGCAGTACGGATGTTTTTGTGATAAGCAAAAACGATTGTACTATGTCTGGGTGTTTTCTGTGTATAATATGTGTTTATAAAAGGACAGTATATAAGCATTGTATCCATACCATACTTAATAATTATTATTATACATACTGGGTTTAGAATTAGGATGTGTATATCGAAAAAAAATAACAATGTAAATAAGAGGTAGGCATACCCCTTCAGGGAAGCACTAGCGTGATGATTAGATTTTTATACTATTTTATATTAATAATTTCGCAGGGTGCCTAAAGATGCAGCACGCCGCCGTGATAAATGGATTGAAATAATTCGATTGCTGAGAAAAGAGACTGACTGGCTACCTATTAAATATACTGTAATTTGCTCGAAGCACTTCCGGGATCAAGACAAGCTAGGATCAAGAAGCGGCAGTAGCCGTGTTTATTTGTCTAAGGAAGCAATTCCAATGTTTGTTGTAAGTACTGATTTAATGGGGGAATTAATTTAGCCATAGATAATACTGATCTAAGCAATAACTTCTCATAAAATTCACATAATTTTAAAGAGCTGAAACTCATATTTAAATGTGTACTACAGTAAACTACTTTTTTATAACTTTGTTTAAGCCTTATAGTGTTCTATTCAATGCATAATTTAATTTTTTAGGACGACTTTCATTATCAACAGCCGGCCAAGCTTTCAGCAGAGAACCAAATAAATAGTCTGACAACCGATGAAGAGATAGATGAAATACCCGAAACACCGCGAAAGCATAAAATGCGAAAAATAATTCGCCATTTGAAATTTGTATTTGCGCGAAGACTAAAAAAGGTAAAAAATATATTACAGAAAAATAAAAGATTAGAAATTAAAAATAAAAGATTAGAAATTAAAAATAAAAAGTTAAGAGATGTTATACAAGAGTTGAAAAAAACGTATGTTGAGCGAATAAGAAGAAATGCAGTTAAATTTGAATAAAGAAACAGTGCAATTAATAGAAGAATTTAAAAAAAGCTTTAAAAAGACAAGGACTTTTAAAAAAAAATCCTTACATACTAAAGAAATTTGCTTTAACATTAAACTTTTATTCCCCTGCTGCCTACAAGTACATATGTTCGAGCCGCATCAAATAATTCATTACCACATCCACGAACTCTGGTCAAATGGTAAAGCAAAGTTAACGGGGATCCAGGATTTACTTCGGAGGCTTTTAATGTCCTTAAGGTCAAAAGTGACAATTCTGAGTCCAAGTTTATTGGTAATTTAGCTGTAGATGAGATGGCTATTCGTCAGCAAAAAAATTTCGATGGAAAGAAGCACCACGGGTACGTTGATTTTGGATTCAATGACACAAACAATACACAAAATTTGGCATCCTCCGCTTTGGTTCTACTTCTCACATGTTTGAATCAAACATGGAAGATACCTATTGACTATTTTTTTCCACATGGATTATCTTCAGACAAACTTGCCAACATAATAAATTTGGCACTGAAAAAATGCGAAGAAATTAACGTCGATGGTAGCGTCAATAACATGTGACGGTAGTCAGACAAACATTGCTGCAATGTGAGTTTTAGGATGTAATCTAAGCGACACAGATAACCTAAAACGACTTTTAGACATCCTACGTCAGGAAAAGATGTGGTACTATTTTTAGACGCTTGCTACATGCTCAAGCTGGTGAGAAACAGCTTTGAAGCAAAGCAAATATTTTTTATTAAAAGTATTGTTTTCAAGGCTGTTTGAAACTTGCTTAATCGTAACATACAGACTTTCACAGGATCATCTTGAATTATTTTTTGGTTGTCCTACTCATAGACTAAACACTTAATATATTTGAGGTCCTACCGTACAATCTATGTACCGTAAAATGGGGCGATTATTTTATTCAGCAAAGGTAAATAATAAAATGTTTATTGTCATTATTATTATTTGTATTTAAAACATTTACATTGTATATTTATAAATTTATTTATTTAAGTGTAGTATTTATTTAAGNAAAAAAAATGTGTGCGTGTACTAGTGTACACACGTAAGAAGTGAAACTTGTTTATGGCCTTATTTTTCGAAAAATGATCTACATGCAACTTTCTAGAAATTGGTTAAATAAAGTTAAATTAGATAAAGTTTAAACAAAAGGATTTTATTATCATAGACATGAATACAAAACAGATGGCGCGTAACGGAAAAATGTGACGCGTAACCGAAAAATGTGACGGTAAATTTTTTTCCAACGCCGATAAAGAAGTTTCACTTCAATATTATAAGACATGCAATAGCACTTTCCGGCTCCAGGTCTTTCTCTCTTAAATATGGTCTTTCGATATTAGCTACAAAACCTTTAGAAATGCTTCAAGGAAAAAAAATGTTAAAAGAATTTGCAATACACCTAAGTGAAATTCTATCATCGGTACATGTTGATCATTCGCTGTTGTTAATAAATTGAAATCTGTTATAGTGTTCATTATTCTACTCATCAAGCCCTTTCATTTAATACTCACATTGAAGGAGTTGTGAAAAAATATTTAATTCGCCATTTTGTGGCTTTCTTGGGCTGGTTTTCATAAAATGTAAAAAAAACCATCAGACTAATTCAACTTTACAACAAACAAAAAAATCGAAAATTTAAAATATTTTCGGCAAAAATTCCACTGATAGGCCACACCAAACCGCCATTGCATCTTTATGTTTCTGTCTTTCTCTAAACTTAGCGATGGTATTGTTCTTTTAACTTGTGTAAATGAGACAGATATGTTTTTACTTTTAAGCGTTTAATAGTTTCAAAGCTACGTAGTTGTGGTCAAATAGTAGCTTGTATACACTTTTTTCGTAACGTGGTAATGTGATTTGCTTCTCTATTTTTTTGGCTTTCACCAAAAAAAAACAATCCAAATGCTGTTTGATTACACTTCCTTTATTTCCACAACTTTGAATAGGTTTTAAAGTACACTAATTGTCTTAATCGATACGCTTTTGTAAAGTACGTCTTGCTTCCGTCCTC